GGTTTAGCAGCTCTGTTAGGCCACAGCCTGGACAGCCGAGGTCCAAGGTTTTCATATTTATGTGAGGCAAACAAGTTGTAGAGGTGGGAGACCAGGGGGTAGGTGGGGAGATGAAAGCATAAGATGTGGGTACATATTCAGGAGATACGGGGTTTTGACCTCTGTGCCTTACAGGAAACTGCCTGACAGGATTTTATTTTGCCCAGGAGCAGGTGGTTTATGGGCTTGCAAAATTCTCCCCTGCTTCCTGATCTCCATTATACAAACACATCTTTCTCTGTCACTCCCTGTTGGCTCGGCACAGAAAGCCAAGGCCCAGATCTCACGGACCTCTTCTCTTCCTGTTGGTCCTGTCACGAGTTCTCGCTCAGTCCCTCAGCTTGCCACTTGGCTTTTTACATTTCCCCGAGCACCTGTCTCTACCTTTCTAGACATCCGGTGCAATTCAGTTTGCCTGGCAATTCCCCTTACTCTGGCTCTTCCCGAGGACACTTTAAAATGTTATGGCACATTGAATGTAAGAGACCCTTCCCCCACCAAAACATGGGTCCCGGAAACCTGTGGTCCGGTCTGCCTCTGAGTAGTCATGCATGGGCTCGTTTATTTCCTCAGATATCCCATTACCTAGTCCAGCTAGCTGCCCAGTGTTAAGGACAAGCTGCTGCAGTTAGGTTACATCTTGGGGCCAGGAGTGGATTCCCTCAAAAAGAATATTATCAGAGAGGGTTCAGAACTCTCACTGCATTCAAATTCAAGCGCCAACAATCTTGAGCCTGTTCCCTACCTAACCCCTCTAAGCTCATTTTCTCAACTGCAAGCTAGTAGGAACTGATTCAAAAACTCTGTGGAGAGCTCCTGAAATAATGTGCAACAGAGCTTAGCCCAAAGCCTGGCCCAGGACAAGCACCCAACAAAGAGTGTATATTGGTAGTACTAATTACTATAATCAGGATATGTATCAAAACACAATGATAAATATGGGTTCTGCTCACCAATGTAACCCGCTATTGCTTAGTGACCTTCTTTGATGTTGCCTCTAAGTTTTTAAGATATAGAACTTGGGGCTGGAGAGATGACTTAGCAGTTAAGACCACTGGCTGTTCTCCCAGGTTCAATACCCAGCACCCACATGGCAGCTCACAGCTACTCAGTTCCAGGGTATCTGATACCTTCATGCACATAAAATAAAGTTAAATAAATTATTTTTAAAAAAGATACAGAAGTTGACTCTTTAACCCCAACACTCAGGATGAGTAGGAGGCAGGGGGACCACAGACTAGCCTGAACCATATAGGAAGACCAACCCTGTCTCAAAAACAAGTTGATTTTTTTTAACCTATAGATTTCCACAAGACACACTTTTACTGTTTAAAGTGAAATATGTAAATACGGGTTTTTTTTTTGTTTTGTTTGCAGTTTAGAGGAAGACAGGCAGGCTGAGCTTTTGTTTTGAATATAAAAATCATTTTTTGAGGCAGAATCTTGCATAGCCCAGGCTGCCTTGAACTTTGTAAGTAGACAAGGATGACCTTGGACTCCTGATCCTCCTGCCTCCACTTCCCAAGTGCTGGGATTACAGGTGTGCACCATCAAGTTACCTGGTACTGGGTAAAGAACCAAAACTTCATGCACGCTAAGGCAAGCACTCTGCCAGCTGAGCCAAGGGCTAAGACCCCAGCCTAGGAAGGCTACATTTTGAACTTACGTTTCACAAACCTAAAGTCTCCAAGGTGGGTTTGTGGTTTTTGTTGCTGTTTTCCAGTTTCATTTACTTACTTTTGTTTTATTCAGACAGGGGTTTCTTATGTGGCCTTGGCTGGCTTGGAATTTAATAGAACTTAATGACTTCAAATTTGTAACAATCCTCCTGCCTCTGCCTCCCAAATGGATGGCATCTGACTCTGAGGTGTGCTTGCTCTTTTTTTTTTAAGTCGTAGCCTGGGGTCAGGTAAACACACCATTGTTCTGCTTACCAGTAGTTTTCTTTTAAAACCCAGTGTCTTTTTTTCTTCCCACTGTATAGAGTGACTAGGGAAAGCTGGCTGAATGCCCAAGTAGAGGGATGTATCCCAAGGCTGTCTCCATAGTCAACACCTCCTTTCGGCCTTCAGCTGTGCCTGATGAAGCTGTCTCTTTGGCATGTATGTCCTAACCTATGGGCTGGCTCAAACAGAGAATTCCACTTGTATTTATTTCAGGAACATATGATTTTATCTTAGGCACCTTAATGCAGCTCCTAATATCACCCACCCTCCCTCTGCATACACCGTACATTCTCTCCATTGTTAATCCTGCTCCTGGAGTGGGTGGCAGCTTTTCGAGGCTGGGCTGGGAATTACAGGCCACTTTGTTTGTGCAATCGCTTGAGAAGCCTGGCACCATTGATTTGCATCAGTGCCTCCGGAATAGCCTTTTGCCATCTCCTTAAAGATACTATCTAAGCTGTGAAATTCATTAAATAGCCCCAGAAATGGATCAGGTTATTTAACACAACATCCCTAATGGCGCAATATCTCAGCTGTCCACACTGATAGGGAACATTGTCTTGGATAGCGTTATCAGCCCAGGACACCCGCTATGAATATTGATCCTGGGCTTGTTACAGCCATCACTTGCCATCAGGACAGGTCAGAGTTGGAACCCACCTAGCATCAAAGCAATTTAAAGACAGCACTCGAACAGAATTTTAATGTTCAGGCAGGGGGAAGAAAAACAAAACAAAACACCCCGATGACCAAATCAACTCTATGCACAGAGGGAAGATGGCTTGCCGGATGTGAACACCTGTATTACCCTGGCTCACACATGTGCCGGAACGTTAGTGGGTCAAGCACATCTCCCAGTTGTGCCTGAAGGGAGGTTTCACTGCATTATAGTCCATACAAAACAAGTGGCCAGGAAAAGGGTTTCCTGCAACTTGCTGCCTCCCTCTCCCCACAGTGGAAAGACATACCCTGGTCTTTGGTTTGTCTCTAAGCCGAGTGAGGGAGACACAGCAGGGTTTCTTCCATGTCATTTACTATCCAGAGCCAAGCACTAAGCAGGGTCCCTGGACTATCACACTGTCGTGAACACATACAGGGGGAAACAGTGAGGAAATGAAGACAGCGATGTAAAAACCACCACAGAAGCAGGCATGCTTAAGGATCTGCAGGTTACAGAATGTGGACTCCCCATGTTGGATTTTCTCTCCAATTTGTTACTTCCTGCCTTTTTTTTGGGGGGGGGTCCCTTTTCTGTATTTAGCACCACAGACTTCAAAGGAAAGATGACTTATACGAAAGAAAAAACTTTATATAACTTAAACAACAGCAGCAACAACAACAAAACGAGGCTATCGAAGTTCAGTGAAATAATCCAAGTTCTATCTGACCATGGCGGGGTGGGGTGGGGGGGTGGAGGTTGTGGGGTTTGGAGGGTTAGGGCGCATTCCTGGTCCTCTGATTTGAGATACAGGTGCCCTCTGGAATGTTACCACCCCATTCCTATGAAATGGCCTCAATGTTCCTTCCAGAGAAAAGGGCAAGAGAAGGAACATTTTTATCTATTTCTAGGTGACTTTAGGGAGCTCTTTCCCCAGTGACCCTGAAAAATCTAATATATACATATATATGGAAAAAAAGTAGATGGAATCGGGGTCAATAGGGAAGGGAAGAGAAAGAAAACGGAAGACTTGAAAAAAATGTGAGAACTGGATGAGAAAGGGTTATCCAAACAGAAAACAAAGTATGTGCATTCCAGAGGGATCTGTGATTTGCAGGTATTGTCCCTGGGCCCTGCCTCTGGGTTTCTGGGTTGTCTTTTCCCTGAGTTTCACACGGCACATACTCCCTTCGGCAGGGGGTGTTCTGGTGGGCTTGGGCTCTGCACTTCCTTCCCTTCACTTTAAAAGCGCAATCCGTCTTTGCTTTAGGACTGGAGCTGGCTTGAATTTCGGCAAGGCTTTAAAGTCGGCAGGGAATATGGTGGCCACCCCTGGGAGGGGCTGGAAGGTTTGAATGAGAAAAGCAACAAGGAGCTAGTCCCCCGAGGATGCCTCTTTAATAACAGATAGGATTAGTAGCCCCCAGCACTTTAGTGCGAAAGAGTTCCCTCCTCTTCCTACTTCTTACCTGCTCAGACAATATTAATTGCCAAGACATTGTCTGGGAACCGCATGGGGCAAAGAAGAAAGGAGCGGGCGGGGTCCGAGGTGGCTCTGGGCAGCGGAGCTAAGGCAGAGATGCTTCAGAATTTGCGGCTGAAATAAATGACTAATGTCCACAGCGGTGACAAAAAGAAGGAATGTCACCACGGGCGTGGCTAGTGCAACCTTTTCTTTACCGCTGATGCTGGCTGTCCTCCCTGGAGACTTGGGGGGGTCAGATGGGGCCATTTTAATCGTATCTCTTCTCTGATCTTAAATTCAAACCAGCGGGCATCTTTTAACCTTTTCCTTCTTGGGGCTGGGAGAGGATGGGGATCAGAAACAGAGTCAATTTCTGAGGCTAATGATGGAATCTGTGACTGAAGAAGTCCTGATGGGCAGCGAAAATGGCACCCTGGGTCACTGAAAGGAGGACAGCCACCTTCAACCAAGCCACCTGGCCCTGAGCCCGCGGCCCTCCTGGTTGGGCACTGTCGTCTTTACTATAAACCCCCTTTGACCTCTGACCCTTCTGGCCTTCCAGGTAGAAAGAAAAGTCTCCTGCCCAAGAAGAATTTTTTTTTTTTTTTTTGCCTCTATTTACCAAGACAGGGGACGTGCTGAAAAAATCCCTGGCCCAGCCCAGACTCTTGTGGACCGTAGTGACCCTGGGCAGATCATTGCTCATCTTTGAACCTCATTTTCCCGGTTTTTGAAACCCAGACTGTAGTCCCCGGCCACGCCCACCTCACAGGGATGCTTAGAAAATCAAAGGAGTGTGAGAAAGCCCCAGGGCTTTGTAAACTGTAAACACACAGGGCTTTAAACATTCCAAGTAAATGGGCCCGAAGCCGTTACTGTGGTTCACAGAAGATGCAAGAGATGCACCAAGCATCTTTGCGAAGCGATCAGGCCTGGCCTCCGTGGCATCTTCAAGTCAAAGAAAGATGGCAAGTGCTCTAAGAGAAATAAGTCAACTGCAGTCAGGCAGATGTGTATGTAGAGGGGATACTGGAGATGGAAGCCTCCCTCGCGCCCTTCACGAGTCTCCACAGGATGGGAGGACGCTCGCGCAGCGTGCGATCGCGATCCCTCGAATCGGGAACGCGCATTGGCAAGCGAGGGTCCCTCTGGTCCAGGCCAGCTGCCACCGCGCCGCGCGGGATAGTCCCAAGGCAGCTGCGAACTCGCCCTGCACGTGGCGGGGGTCTGGCCAGTGCAAGTGCCAATCCGCAAGCAGCCCCCCGCTGCTCTCCTCCCGCCCCGCCTCCTTGCCACCCTCTCCAGCGTCTCTTGGCGGGGAAAATCTAGTTCGAGACTGGAGCGCTGTGACCGAGACAGAGCTTAAGGCAAGCCCCAGTGCGCCCATCCCGGACCCCGCGCGGCCAGCCTCCGGTCCGTGGGAGGCGGGCATGTTGGCATGGCAGGATGGCGGGGCCAAGGCGGCCCCTTCTCACCACAAGATCTCTTTCTCTGTCCTGGACATCTTGGATCCACAAAAATTCACGCGAGCTGCGCTCCCGCCGGTGCGTCTAGCTGCTCTGGAAGCCAAGAAAAGTTTAGCGGAGGTGGAAGCAGGGGAGGACGGCAGCCCCGAGTCTACGATCGGGTCTCAGGAGCCCCCTGGTAAGAATGCGAGGCGGTTTCAGTCTAAGATGGTATCCGTGTGTGTGGAGCAGCCAAGGTCTGATGAATGGCTGTTGGTGGCCTGGGAGCTAGAGAAGGCGCACCCGCGCGCAGGTGCGAAGTGAAGCCTCTCCTCCTTGGAAGAAGAAAGAGGCAGGGATGAGGCTGAGATACCAGGGCAGGTATGTGCCTCATTCCTGAACACCTGCTCAGTGGATGAGTGCAACAGCTCTGACTGGCTCGCATATCTAACGGAAATGTGTTATGCTGTCCACGTGCTAAAAGCTGGGCTAGGAGCTGGGATAAAGGTTATGAAAACGCCTTCCAAGTATATAGTATCATTAACACCACTCCTATTTTATGGCCGAGGCCATTGAGGCCAGGATTAGGTGCTTATTTTCAACCACTCAGAAACACCTGCAGAGCCCATGCCTTCACCTTTCCTGGACCTGACAGGGGGCTGGGGGTGGGCAGACAGAAAGAGTTGGGTGCTTTCTCTCCTAGACCATTGCACTTCATCCCTGAAGTTGGTGGACGTCAAAGGAAGGGTTCAGGAAAGTTTGTGGCTGGAAGGACTTAAGACAGAAGGATTCATGCTGAGTGGGACATGGGCATGAGATTCCTTGGAAGGAAGCCGAAGGTCTAGGGACTCTGGGATAGGCTGTATGCAGCACAGTCCCCTGCTCGTTTCTAAGTTTGGCAGTGATTGTCTGGGGCCCGGAAGCCTCCAGTGGCCTGCCTTGGGGCCCGGCCACGGGCTTGGATTAATTGTTTGGATGGTCTCTCTGTGGGGCTGCCTTCCCCTCCCCCTAACTCCTTGATCGATATTCTATTACTGGCGACTGCATATCTCCTGCCCGCAGCTTGCAGGTACTGACTTCAAACCCCCTTTCCCTGTCTGATCCTAATATTGTTCGATTAAAACTTACCTTTAATAGATGACATCTATCGATCAGGCCCCGGACAAATCTGAAACTCTATTAACACGGCCGGAGAGAGAAGATGGGAAAGGGGGAATTTCTCTTTTTGGGGGGAGGAGGACTTAATAACTTCTTTTTTAATTGCTAGGAGTCGCACACCAAAATAGGCTTCTAGGGACTGGGGAGATTCAATAGTAAACGCACTTGACATTCCCATATCGTAATAGCAGACTCCTCTCTTCTCAGCTCGATAAAGTCACTATACTTTCTTGATATGGGGTGCCATCCAACATGTACTTTTTGGGTGCCTACTGAATGGCAGATCTGTAAAGGGCAAGAGGACACTGCACTCCTGAATTTGCTCCCTAAGATGTGCGCATTGGGGACGGAAGAGGACAAAGTGGAGATAGTTGGATCAAGGGGAAAGCTGAGTGTTGTGGGGGAGGACTAGAAGGTTTGGGGATGCAGGTGGGTAGAGTTGTTACAGGCTTCTGGTCACCCTGCCCTTCTCTCGCAGATGCCGAGGGCCGAGGCACTGGCTTCGCGTCCCCCCTGGAAGGCTCGGAAGCGGAAGAGGAGGAGGAAGCAGAGGATGCGGGGCGCGCGCAGCGGCCGGAGCGCTGGCACCGGGTTCACGAGGGCTCTCCAGAGGCCCTGGTGGTGGCCGCGGGAGCGGGGGAGAGCGGTGTGGACCGGCTCCCAGCGTCCCCCGGCTCCCCCGGCTCTCCGCGGCCGCGGCGCCGGCGATCCGAGCCTAGCTGTGCCAAGCCACGGCGAGCGCGCACCGCCTTCACCTACGAGCAGCTGGTGGCCCTGGAGAACAAGTTCCGAGCCACGCGCTACCTGTCCGTGTGCGAACGCCTGAACTTGGCGCTGTCGCTCAGCCTCACCGAGACGCAGGTCAAAATCTGGTTCCAGAACCGCAGGACCAAGTGGAAGAAGCAGAACCCGGGGGCCGACGGCACGGTGCAGGCAGGATGTAGTACGCCGCAGCCTGGGACACCCGGCGCCGTGGCGGGGGCCTGTGGCAGTGGCACGGGGAGCAGTCCTGGCCCACCGGTTCCGGGCGCTCTGCCCTTCCAGACTTTCCCCACCTATCCCGCGACCAACGTCCTCTTTCCCTCCTCCTCCTTCCCGCTGACGACAGCCGCCACAGGGAGTCCCTTCTCTCCTTTTCTTGGGCCCTCCTACCTGACCCCTTTCTATGTCCCACACCTATAAACCCGGTACTCCAGCCGAGTTGGGATTCGCGAGTGACCAGTATGGTGGTGTGGACCTCTGCTTCACAGAGGGGCACTGACCGCCCCCTCCTGGTGTACTGGTGTCTGTGTGCCCCTTCTCTCCAGCTGCTGGTGAAGCCACCAGAGGGCGAGGAGAAGCCACCTGCTGGACTCCATACAGGCCACTAAGGGGTCCAGAAAGTATTCAGACCAAGCTGACTCAATCTTCCAGCTTCTGGACGTCGCTCTTCACTTTCATTCACTTCCAGGGCTCTGTTTTTTTTAAGGGCCTTGGTATTCAATACCAGGCTAATAAGGGTTCCCAGGATAGAGACCAGAGGAAGCCAAGATGCCCTGGGCACCAGCTGCTAGTGCCAAAGACTGAATATTTAAAGGTTCCGGTACATCCCGAGAGGAAGAACTTTCCTTCCTGGTGGTGGAATTGTCTCAACACAGTACTTCCTCTCAAATCCTGAACAGAGCTGGGGCAAGTTGGACCCAAAGCAGATGCAGCTATCAAATGGACTGTTTTCAAGATGCGTAACAGCATTTCTGGATCTCCTTATGAGATTCAGACTTGAGCCAGTTACTGATGCTAACAGACTACCTTATTTTCTGTGTGCAGACGCCACGCCACGTGTATGTACCAGGAAGTTGTTCTGCTTTGTGCCTAGACTGACCTGGAAGAGACACAACTTTGTTGCCTCACAGGTTTTGAGAGCAGCTTGGATAGATGACAGCAGCGCCCTAAATGCATCAAAAGGACAGTAAAGGGAGTGATGACCCAAAGGCCATGCTGAAGTCAGTGTGTGAGCTGTTGTGATATGCTCCTTTGTCCGGCCTACACCTTCATGGACTTCCGAACTGACAAGTTGGAGCAGAGCAAGCTCCACCCACAGGCATTGCAGTCAGGCATTTGGAAGCACAACTGTAAAATTTAGAATACCTGAGACGCTGACTTGAAAACAATTCTTGTTTTAAATAGTTTTCTCCCCCTCCTCATGATGGTGAACAAGCAAAAGCTGTAAGGGACTGGGAAAGAAATACTTCCCAAGTGTAAAGCTCGATGAAGGCCAAAACCTTGTTGGAATAGGCTCAAGGATACATATGTTTTAATTGCTGCTTTCTTTGTGTTGTGTGATATTTTGTTTGTGCTCTGACAAATAAAGCTTGCTTGGAGTCAGAGGTGGAGCTAGCCACTAGTTAACCATAGAGGTTTGGAGGACTGCAGAGAGAGGGACAGGAAGTGGTAAGGTGGGGCTGAAACAGGATCTCAGCCCCTTTGGTCAGAGGAACAGAGGAGGTAGGAAGTCACTGGTGGCTGCTCCCCTAATTCTCTGATCTTTCAAGTTTTTACCCCAATATCTGACTCCTGGTTTTTATTGATAAGATTAATTAGAATTATGCATCATCTGTCATCCAACATTTGGGGCACTAATTCACGAAACAGCTGCTTGCCCATCAGCACCCACCTAGATGGCTGGCTCTCCCTTACTTCCCCAAGCCCTCTGAGCAAGTCTGGGGTTTTCCTGTTGCAGCCTCTCTACAGCAATTTCCACAAGCCCCAAACTCCACAGTTGCCTGGGCTCTGAACTCCACTGGGCATCTCTGCCTTCAGGCAGCTCTGGACTTTCACCTCCCACAGGTCACATATGCTACTTTTGAGCATTCCTATGCCTACCTTTCAGGTGGCTGGCTCTTTGGCTCCTTTTCCCGGTGGGTTGTGAGCTTTCCTTGGACCCCCTCCTCAGGTTGCTGACACACAATTGTGGCAGTTGTCCTCAGCCAGGCTGTGCATCACTTATGTTCTCTGCTCAGACATGCCAAGCAGCGCCAGCCGGTCTCTCATCACCATCATTGTCAGCAATTTGGTGAGAAAATGGGAATTCTTAAAGAGGAGAATTAATTTTTTTTTAAAAGGAGGTTTTTTCCCCCCCACATTTAAAAAAAAGGGAAATACTTATGATGGAGGGAGTTAGGTTTCTGTATGATAACACAATGGATGGTTTAAAAATGGAACAATTAAATGAAGGGGTAATCAGCGTAGCTGGGAATGACATAATGTTAATTATCATTTTGATAATTCTAGTTTTATCCCTAAAAAAGTTGGTTGATATGGGTGCCAAGATACAGGCCTTAGAAAAAAAATTACTAAAGTATTGCCATTTTGACTGTTAAGTTACAAGCCTTAGAAGTATGTACTAAAACAGGTAATAGAGATATTCAGAAAAGACAGAGGAATTTAGAGGAGAACCAACCTCAACTTTACATTGTGAAATTAGAGAGGGACAGCTCATGGTTATAAAAAAAACCAACCTTAATTTATCCGGTTCCCATATAGGAACAACTGTCAACTGACAGGTATCTCCAAGGCTGTGGAAAAGCTGACTGGATTCCTGTGGATGTGTTAGATTTGAGGAGATTTAAGGAAGCGATAGTCTTATATGGTATGCATTCACCTTTTGTGAAGCAGATGTTAAATTCATGGTCAACTAGTTGCAGAATTGTCCCACAAGACTGGAGAGACCCGGTTACAGCAGTACTGGAACCTGGTCCTTAATTACAGTGGAGGACCTGGTGGAAAGATGAGGCTAAGACCATTGAACAACAAAATAGGGATAGAAGTATTGAAATTTCTCAAGACCAACTTCTTGGAGAGGGTGATTATGCTGATGTACAAAGGCAGTCTCAATATGATGACCACGCCCTGGCTCTATGCTGTACAGCAGCTTTGAATTCATGGGACAGAATTGAAGAAGTCGGAAAGAGAACAGAGTCATTTAGTAAAGTTATACAGGACCCCAAAAAAAACTTCCACTGATTTTTTTTTTTACAAAGACTTCAGCTGTAAATAGAATGATAGAAAATTCAGAAGACAGACAAATATTAATTGAATCTTTGGCTTTTGAAAGGGCTAATTCAGAATGCAAAATGGTGATTAGGCTTTTAAAGGCAAGATCTGCACCCATGGAGGAATGGATTAGAAAACTAACTTATAAGACTCACCAATGCTTTTCATTTGATCAGACATAACTTACCAAAAGGGAACCTCCCCAAAGTTAGGATTGGGGCAGGGTTGTTTTTGTCTTTCCATGAGAATGAAGCCATTCAGCTAAGGAATCTGAAGACCACCGGACAAATGAGACATCTGAAGAATAAGGACGAATCATCCAGAGAAAATATCCCAAGAAAAGAGTAAATTGGCCTATTGGTATATCACATTTCCAACAGGCTAAAATTTCATAAATCTTCCCAAATGTTTGTTTCTGTCATTCTCTATAGACACATAATGCAGATGATCTTTTTGTAGTCCCAGTTCAATTAAAAATTAAAGCTGGTTTTGGAATCGGAGCATGGCTCTCTCCTTCTCTAAACCCAAGCATGCTTGTTAAAAGGAAAATCCAAAATCTCTGTATCATGTCAGAAGAGCCACTTGATATGGGACAGAAGAAAAACCAAAATTAAGGGACTATTCTATTGCCATTAATCTCATAATCCTTTGGTTCTATTTTGACTCTTTAAAACTTTTCTTAAGGTATAAATATTATCTCAAGATTTATATATATAATTTAAACTTTTTGTCATGGTATTAATGGTCATAGAGTGTTTAGCGCTCTTTTTAAAATATTTATTTTTATTTTATGTGTTTGCCTGCATGTATATATGTAAATCATGTGTATGAAGTAGCCCTGGAGGCCAGAAGAGGGCGTTAGACACACCCCTGTCATGTGAGTTCTGGGAACTGAACCCAGGTCCTCTGAAAGAGCAGTAAGTGATCTTAACTACTGAGCCATCTCTCCAGCCCCCGATTTTGAAACTCTTACCTCTAAAAGACTTTATAAAAAATATCATACTGGATTAGAGTCCCACGACAGGACAGCTGAAGGATGTCTTGTCTCTAGTTCCCTTGTCTTTTTCTTTCTTGTTAACTTTAAGATATCTTTATTTATTCAAAATGCCTCTATCCCTCCCCCACTTCCTTTGTATAGTAGAACAAATACATAGTGCAAATGTTTCTTGGGTGCCCAGTGTGTGCCAGGGGCTGCCCTCAACTCTGGGGATACAATGGAAAGACTCCGCCTTGACACTGGGGAAGATGAGGTATGAGAAGGTCACAAACAGGTGAGTAGCTGTGCTAGGACATGTAGCAAATGTCACAGCTTCCTTGTCAGCTGTTTCTGTACAAAGAAGCAGTGTCTTTAGCACTGATGACATTTGGACTTCTGGCTAGAAATAAATAATTCTATGAATTCTACCTTTGCCAGGTTTGTTCTCTACATATCTGGCTTGTGTTTGCTAAGACAGTGCCAGATATTTAAAAACACCCGGAGCACAGCAGAAACAGCCCAAGCACATGCTATGGCCAACCCGAGGTCCTGCGTCTCTGACTTGAGTCATTTCTTCCTCTCGTCAAGTCATTAGCTTCTAGTGTGGATTTCTAAACTAAATTCAGGTGGAACCACATGTAGTAGTTTAGAGAAATCTCCATCTTGGGCCAGAGTCTTGGCTCAGTGGATAAAGGCACTTGATGTTAAGCCTGATAATCTGAGTTTAATCCCCAGGACCCACATAATGGAAGGAGAGAATTGACTCCCACAAGTTTTCTTCTGATCTTTCTTCTGCCACAGTTATGCATACTGTGACACCCGCTCTCTCTGACCCAGAATAAATAAATAAATAGACAGATAAATAAATAAATAAATAAATAAATAAATAAATAAATAAATAAATAAATGTAGAAAAATCTGTCTTCTTGATAGTAAGATTCATAAGTTCATGTAATTGGACCTGTGGCTGATTTTTTTTTTTTTTCTTTTTTCGAGACAGGGTTTCTTTGTGTAGCTTTGCGCCTTTCCTGGAACTCACTTGGTAGACCAGGCTGGCCTCGAACTCACAGAGATCCGCCTGCCTCTGCCTCCCGAGTGCTGGGATTAAAGGCGTGCGCCACCACCGCCCGGCTCTGTGGCTGATTTTTAAACTCTTTTTTTTTTTTTAAAAAAAAAACATTTATTTTTATTTTATGGACGTGCATATTTTGCCTGCATGTATGTATGAGCACCATGTGCATACTTAGAGTCCAAGAAGGCCAGAAGAAGGCATCATATCCTCTGGAACTGGAGTTATGCATAGTTGTGAGTACTGGAATGTTGGTACTGGAAACCACACCTGGGTCCTCCGTAAGAGCAGCAAGCTAACTGTTGAACCGTCTCTCCAGCCCCTGACTTTGAAACTCTCTTACCTCCAGAAGACTTTTTAAAAAATATTTATTTATTTTTACATTATGTGTATAAATGTTTTGCCCTGCGTGGATATTTATGCATCACATACATGCCTGTTGGATCCCCTGGAACTGGAGTTACAGATGGTTGTGAGCTGCCCTGTGGGTGCTGGGAATCAAACCCAGTCCTTTCCAAGAGCAACACATGCTCTCAACCACTGAGCCAGCTCTCCAGTTCCCCAAAAGATTTTCTAAAAAAACCATCTGGACAGGATTCCATGACAGGACAGCTAAGGGTGTTTTGTTGGCCCTGAACTCACACTCTTTACGCATGTGTATGTGTTTGTGAATACGCATGTGTGTTTGTGTTTGTGTAGATGCATATAGAGGCTGGAGGAGAAGCCTGGGTGTTGTCCCCAGGAACACTGTCCCTTCCATGTAGATGGGATCTCACCAGTCAGGGATCCTTTGTCTCTACCTTCCCAAGGCTGGGATAACAAACATGGGCTGTCTCACCTCGAATTTTAAAAATGACACGTATTTCTTTCTCTCTCAAAGTTGGATGATGAAATAGAAGCAGGCTGTCTCACATGATCTTCCTGTGTGTCCATGTCTCAGCATAATCCTCTTCCCTGGCAGGCAGGCTAATCACTGACACTTCACTTCCGGGGCTCCAGCTCACCGGCAGGTGAGATCTCGTCACCTCATTTAGCAGATATGTGGGGTGGCTTGGATAGTCACACTCTCCTTTTCCCACCATAGATAGTTTTCTTGTCCTCAGGAATTCATGCGTGAGTTTGGCCCAACCTTTCATCTCTCCTAACCCAGTATATGTTGGCAGTCAGTCAATTACTGTTAACTGAAATATACTTTCCCTTACTGGTTTGTCTAGTTCTGTCTGTTTTGTTCCTTGATAGTTACAGATGAATCTATTTTTCTACTTCTTTTTTTTTTTTTTTTTTTGAAATCTGGAAGATAAACTTTTACAGGATTCAAAAATTACTTGAGGACCAGTGAGATGGCTCGGCAGGTAGACATGCTTGCTATGTGAGCCCGAGGACCCGAGCTGCATTCCTGCAATGCATGTAAACGTGGAAGGGGAGAACGGACTCCACAAAGTTGTCAATCCGATCTTTACACACAGGCTGTGGCATATGCCCCTCCCCCACACAGACTAAATACAATTTTAAAATAATTTGAATGGACACCTCACATTCATAAAGAAGCAGTTTATAATTTTAGGTATTAAAATTCTTTCTTGCAAGTTTTTTTTTTTTTTTTTTTTTTTTTTTGAGGCAGTCCCTCTAATGTAGCCCAGAGTAGCCGGAAACTCCTCATTTCCCTACCTTTTCTTCCCAAATGCTGAGTTTACAGACAATGGAAGTATTAATATTTTTTTATGAGTAATTCTAACTTCTTTTATTTTTTTTCTAGTAAATTTTAATGGATTGTACACAGCCATAAGAAATTATTGTTTTGTCAGATATGATGACACATGCCTTTAATGCCAATACTTGAGAGCCAAAGGCAGGTGGCTTTCTTCATTTAAGGCCAGCCTGTGAGTTCCAGGACAGCCAGGGCTACACAGAGAAAACCTGTCTCAAAAAAGGATTTTTTTTTCCTTTTTTGTTATCACAGACTAAAATCAATACAAA